CAGGAGTCACGTCCCCCGGCCGTCTTTTGATCGTTTGTTCATTGATCAACAGATTTTAGGGTGATGTAACCATAAATGTTTTCACGTACTATTAGATCGTAAATTAGAGTTGATACAGTATAGTATATATTGATAGCTAGGTAAAAATTGAGAAGTCATTACGTCTACAAATAATAATAGACAAACTTTCAACTTAGAGTTGATACAGTATAGTATATATTGATAGCTAGGTAGAAATTGAGAAGTCATTACGTCTATAAATAATAATATAGACAAACTTTCAACTGAACCTTAGTGTGGTCCAACTGTAAAAGGAATTAATGATATTTTAGATAGAAATTATAAGGTGTTTGTGTACACAACGCTTACACATTTGGTACAATTGAAGTAATTGCTGATACAATTGTGCGAATCTCACCTTGGTGATTTTGTTAATATTCATCCATCCTTATGGACTAAAATATCAGTTTATGAAGAGTACGGAATTGAGAGCATCCCAAAAAATTGGTCTACCGTTTTTTCACGTTGAAACCACCGAACATGTATAACATTGTTTCGAGTAGTCATGAAAATCAAAAAGCGTTTGCACCAGATGGTGGTCGACCTTGCGGCCCACTACCGGCAGCGGTATCAAATTCCGTTTGAGGTATCGACCGCAGCACTCCTGCCCGAGAGATTATCATCGCTTCCTCTTTTGACGCATAAAAATGTGATATCGTCTGTGGATGCGGGAAAGAATGCAGCGGGATCAAGCGTGCCACATCTTCATCATGATTGATGAGTGGTACGTCAGCCGCCCCGGATAATAGCAACTGGATCTGCTTTTGTAAGCGTTGGATGTCACGCTTCTGCTTCTCAATGGTAATGAGTAAATTATCAGCATGTGCTGCATTTTGCCTAATTCGCTCTACGCGTTTAAACGGAAGCAACCTTCGATTGCTGTGGTTTGGATAAACACTACTTGCACAAGTCGGAGTGCGTTGTAGTCTCTCTTGCTTTGATGGCGTCGCTCGTCCAGATTGTAAATTTTCAACGCTCGCAGAATGATCTCTAGTTGAAGAATGACCAAGCTGTGGCGAATGCGACAAAGAGGTGAGCCGCAGTTCTGGGCTCGAATGACTAAGCTGCAACTTTGAGGCATCCGATTCGGTCAATCGTTCACCAAAGCTGCTGAATCCGCCGGTTAGGTACAAAGTATGTTTAAGGTCGCAAATTTCAGTTTGCAGTTCCTTCTTCTCTATTCGTAATCGGTTGCATTCGTCTATCAGCGTGTTTCCTTCTACTACTGACTCGCGTCGAACACGATCAGTCTGCGTCTTTGCGTGATCCAGCGCTGTTCGCAAAGTCTGGATGGTGCGGCTCATATACTCTAGTTGCTTGGCAGACTCATCAACCGACTGCTTGCAGTCGAAGCCCAGTGCATCGTCGGACACTGAGGTTCCAGTGATAGGCGACTGCTGGTTTTGAGGCGACTTTGCCGCCTTACTAATGAAAGTTTTGGGAGACATTTTTTTCTGCAAAATTTCGCCCATGACATGTACTTTGTAAGCGTCTTTAACGGCACTCTCCAGGTCTTTGTAGTTCGTGATTTGAGCTAGACGTGTGAACTCGCGCTTCATCGCGCCGACACAATAATTCTTCTGCATCAAGTCTTGACGTAGCATCTTGACCTCGTGCAATGAAGTGCGAAGTTTCGAATCTTTAGTCTCCATTTCTTTCCGATTGTCTGATTTAGAAAGAAATTCATCAGCCAGCTCATGTTGAATCTCACTTATTTTCCCTTCCATCAAGCGCAAATGTTTTTGTAGCGGAGCCTGCTTGGTTTCTAGACCGTCGATGCGATGAGAAAGAACTGAACGAAAACTCGTCAGTACGCGGTTATCCGACCTCAGGTCATCAATTGTTCTATCCTTGTCATGACTCTGAGCGCGACAACCTTCGAAATGTTGTTCGTAATTTGTCAATGTTTCCTCCAGACGTACTAATTTCGCTTGCTCAGTAGTCAAAAGCACATCGCGAGCATGTGACAAAGCCTTTTGTTCCTGCAATTTTTTCCGAAGAGACTCAAGCTTCGTATTTGCAGCACTTACCTGTCCTTGTTTCACTGCCGTATTCCGACGCTCAGATTCCAACTGCTCAACAAATTCGGCTCGCATCTTTTGCACTTCGTGTTCGTTATCAATCTCTTCTTGATGTAAAACTTCTTTGAATTTATCGTGGTTGTATTTCACATCTTCATGCAGCCTTTTGATAATGTCATTCTGCTCCTTTGCTCGTGTATAGGCTGTCATTCGCTCTGCATGCAACACATCTCGACTTTGACTGTCGTGAGCCTCCACAAGTGATTCACAACGTTGCCGCGTCTTTTCTAACGTCTCGGATAAGGTGTCGTATCGAGCCATCTCTTGAGCAAGCTTTCGCTCATATTGATTTTCAATTTCTTGCATCATCTTGACGTGATGCGCTTCAACTTTTTTGAGCTCTTCATTATGCTTTCGCGTTGCAAGCTGATGGCATGCTTCTAGTTCTTCAAAACGCACTCTTTCCTGAATAACAAGATGCTCAGACTCCTCTTTCAGCACATGCAACCGATTAATCCATTCATTTTCTTTCCGATGTAGTGCAAACTCAATGTCTGCTGTTGCTTTGTCGTACCGTTGTTGCCACTCCAACACCTTAATGCGCCGTTCTTCGAGATCTTCGCGGGCTATCAATACAGCATCAGTGTAGGATCCGCCGGCCTTTCTACGCTCAATTAAAACTGACGATGACTCTGGCTTAGCAAAAGATATTCCGATGTGTTTTTGACGTTGCAAGCCACTCCTCAAAATGTAAAAAATGCACACACTGCCATCCTCTGCGCATGTTATGAGTTGTTCATTGTCGTCTGTCACGCGAAGATGCAAAATTCCTTCTGCATGGGCGTAATACTTAGCGACGCTTTTGTTGCGTATCGGCCACGTATAAACTTCTATGTATCCTGCCTTCGTACCGACAAAAAGCCGCTGACAATCTTTTGTTAACGCCATAGATGTAATTACCACCCCAGTAGGCAGATCAAAACTTCTTGACTCCTCCCTTGCGACAACCTCACGGATCTTCCCATCGGTTCCAGAAGCGACCACAATACTAGGTTCAGTTCCCACGACAAATGCGGCATAATGACACTGCTTTGCAATGTGCTGCATTTCTTCGCTTCGTGATCCCGTACTCGTATCCCAGCGGTAGATAGCGCCATCATGAGCTGCCGAAAAGAGGTGCTTATCGTCCCAGCTCCAATCTAAACACCGTACAGCGCCAACATGACCAGAAAGTACGTGGACAATGTCCAATGAGTAAGCGTGTAAAACTATGACCGTAAGACCAGATGCACAAGCAAACAGATGACCACCATGTGCGTATCGAATGAAGCGACAGGCCTTGAAACTCAGCTCTTTAAGTTGGCTCAGACTATCATGCAAGATCTGATAAACACGCACGCGCTCCTTAAATGCAACGACCAGAATAAATCCGGATGGATGTAACGCAATAGCGGTCGGTTCTTCAAGACAATGATGAGAGAGCTCATAGTATTTCAGCTCGAAATTCCAAACTCGAACAGTCTTATCTGTACCACAAGTCGCAATAATCGAACGCTGCACGCACACATCCACTTGTACAACGGATCCAACTTGGTGACCCTAAGAAGACCAGAAAGATCAGCACGGTTGACCCCTCACTCAGCATCTGCAACGTACGTGCCGAAACATCTCTCGAAACTCAAATCTGTCTTCCTGTCCATTGTCAATAGCATTCATTGAAACGGTAACCAAGCTTTGATTTTTAAGGCAAGCTATGATTGTTTCCGTACTGGGTGACACCGTTATGCATTCAAATGCAACATCACCGACCGACACCGAACGAACGAGGGAAAAAGGGTCTTTCGGATCATCCTACGCAAAATAAACTTTTTGTAAGCATCGATTGTATCACTGATTGGTGCGTCGTACCAATGCCTCGTAAATACCAAAAAACCCTGCCGAGCCTCCAAGTACGAAGCCTTTTTCGTGGCCCGTGACACATTCCATACGTACGTGGGAAGGCTGGTGACACCGGAATGAATGAATGAGATCAGGTACATCAGCCGTCAGACGAAAGCAAAGTATTAGGCCATATTCCGCAAGAGCGATCATGTGCTCTTTCACCCACGTGTGGTCTACGTATTGTTCTTGATCCTTGCCTTTGGTTACAAAATTGGACAATTTAGTGTCCTTGTTGCTCCTGATCCAATACTTCAGATATGCTGGCCCTGAGATTGATATGAACCTGTTATTATTTGGACTAATGTAAATTCGCGTGCCACGACTTGGGCATTTGCAAGAAGCCACAAGTTTTGGCTCACTCAATTTCCAGTAGGTTAGATTGTGGTATGGAGCATCCTCAAGAACCGCTAAATATTTGTTGTTGGCAGAAAAGCTGCACGAAGCAACACTAGATTTCACAGAAAGAGGTATGGTTTTTACCCGAGTCTTTGTGCCCAAATTATAAATTGCTATTGCATGACTCTCTTGGTTTCCAAGCATACTTCTTAAAGTCACATCGGACCCATGCGAAGCCAACATTGGTAGTAAGGATGCGTTCACCGGGCTTATAGCTTTATGTAGCGAATTTTCAACATCCTGTTGATAAATTTCTGCTACAGCTAAAAGCTCGAGATTCGGCGAAACCCGAAAGCACTGGACGCTCTTGACATGATGAACATGATAAAAGAATTCCATGGATCGATTTTCTAGATTGTAGATGACCAAATGGTGCGCCACTGGATATATCACCCTGCTTTCACTAACAAATTCGATGACTGTACGACCACATGACCGAAAACCCAGCACATAGCTAATCTAGAGTGTTAGTCTTCCTTGAACTAAGGAAATGTATACATATGTAGTACATACGTCGGAGTGAGATGTAGATTTGGTTCAGTGTTTTCGTCAATACTTGCGTACAGAGCAAGCTCGTTCTGTTGCGATTTCTCCAAGTTATCAACAGTCCCATCCATTTTAATCCCGTCACCTATTGACCAGATCGAGTATTTGCAATAGCTACCATAAGACATATCACAGCAGAGATATAACGCTCGAAGCTTAACATAGGCGCTTCAAAACTATTTTGGTCGTAACGAGGGGGCTCAGTTATTATTTACTTCTACGTTAATGCTTGGCGGGATATTTAATAAGCGCAAGAAGAGCCGCGATCTCCGCTCCCCTTCACTTCAAGACGTCAAGAAGTGCGCATTTGCATCAAGTATAGAATGCGCTGTGCATGTTTACTGTATAATTGATGTTATAGATTTCGAGATACATATGTCAAACTCGCCGA